CTCATTCAAAGCCATCATTTCGTAAGTTCTATGGTTGATACAATGACCTTGTCATCAAATACATGTATCATTGAGTCAAATGCCGACTGACGTTTTTCATACTAATTGTTAGTCCATTTTTATACACTGAAGTTTAACGCTCCGTTATTTCCCGATCATGACAAGGAGCACACGGTGGTAATGACCGCTTGGCAGGGGATTGTCTCTCCTCTATGGCACCTGATCCCACCTCTGATGTTTTTGAGGTCCGTGTTTGCCCTTTTCCTATTTTGTTTTGTTTTATAGACTTTGATATTAAATTCTGTTCGTTATCTCCATGTCCCTTTCATTGTCTTTTCATAGGTGCCAGTGTCTTCGTCATAACCAAATTTTAATGTATTTACTTTCTCATTTAATGTCTAACAATTCTTTTTCTGATTTTATATTGAGATGTATAAAAAAACAATGTTGGAACGTTTAGTAAGGTGATAAACAGATGTGATCTTTCAGATAATGATATCTTTACGTCTTAAAGTAGGTAGGAACAGAAAGATCTACATGAGTTATCTTTTTTGCTTGCATTTGTGCTACAGTAATACATTTACGAAGTTAAATTCACAATGCGACATCGAAGGCAGGAGACGTAAACATCTATTGACTTTGGGTAGCATGTTTTGCCGAATCTTTAATAATACCGTGTGTCGTGGCCTTAAGAACTCAGACAAAGCATTTTTTGTCCAAAATTACTTAATATGTTCTCTCGAACCTAGTAAAAAAAATCCCAGATCCGCATATTTTGTATGCAATTCTTTTTTATACAAAATACTAAAGTTACACATCATGAAATACTCTTCAGATTCTTTTGAGAAATCTGTATCATAAAACGAAAGATTTATGAAAATTATTTATGAAAAAAAATATCATAACAAAGATATAACAACTGAACTGTACTCTAAAAAAAGACTACAAATTACAAATGCCAGAAAATAAAGGTTGTATCAGCAGTTTTGATGTTTTCATGTATGTCAAAGTCATTCTTAAGTTTGTAAACAAATTTCAAGTTGAGCATAGGTGTGACCTATGTTCAAATAAAAATTTTTAAAAATATTGTATCAAAATTCCCGGTCTAATGGCATTGATTTGTTGGCACTTGAGACGATGGTAGATTCTTAATTCTTCTATGTATGCGTACAATAGCACCTCTACTAATGTGTTCGGAACCTTTTATTTTTCTGTTCTGCAAATTATAAAACCCGATGAGTTCAGAGTAGCTCTGGCAGTGGCTCTGGCGAGAGTTAGCGAGACTACAGCGAGATAGGGTAAATTATTCACGGAAATGTGGCTAGGAAGTGAATAGAACGTGGAGACATGGTAAACAGAAAAGTTATGTTGCGTTTTAGTTTTCACCACCCTATAATATCATTCTGTAGAAGTGTACTTCAATCGACCTCTCTTGAATTCATTCAAATTTAAATTATAAGTATTCTCTATGATACAATTTTCTGCTGTCATGAATTAAAATTCCTTTTTGGACAAATATTTTGCATGGGAACCGGGACTATATTTTTTAGCGTCAGATTAGCAGATGAGGCATCCATGTGACTTTTAACTGACGAATCAGCTGAATGAGAATTGCATTATGGGTCACAATGAATACTACAGGAATTTTACGCTTGATAAAGTCCTTTATTGTACTATTGGTGAATACAATTGTCAGGTGGATTCCCTGGCCAACACACGTTATCACGAGTATAGTTATGGAAAAATGTTTTGTCCGTTTAAATGCATACGAAAAGCTGCTCGTTTTCCTTACCCTTGAAGTGCTGGTGTTCTGAACTTCACACTAAATACGTATACATTTCATTAAACATATTTTTTCTAGTTAACAACAAATCAAAAACGCCCGTGATATCTTTCATAGTTTCTAATGTTTGCATAATGGTCATAAGAACATTTTATTTATTTTGCACTCCACTGACATGATCATGACCTGAACCACGTGTAGTCGAAGTAACATGTAAACATGTATTTGGCGTAAACTTATTCAATCAACAATTGGTCAGTTGCTCTTGGTAAGATCCTCTTTGCGCATTAATAGCAAAAGCCATATAAGGCAAAGGTTTTTCAGTGTAGATGATATTACACTTTTTTACCTGCTTATCAGTCGCTAGTCATAAGTGAGCTGTAATTTTTGCACTTATCTAGGATAAGATCTATTAATTATTCCCCCCCCCCCCCCTTTAGCCACCCATTTCTGTTGAAAATCATGAAAGTCTCTCAGAATGGTCTGGAAACACATTTTTCACAGGACATGTTTTAAAAGAAACAGACTATAGCAATTTCCTGTATACTACCAATTTCATTTATAAACCGGTTTTACCCTATAACCTTTGAATAGGTAAACCTAAACCACGTGTCTTGAATTCAAATCACAATAAAATTAGTAGGGGTGAATAGGGAGGAAGAAGTAATACAATATTTTCGTGCTGGGAAAACTTTACTTTTATTTTTCTCCATAAAAGTAGATAATATAAGTTCTGAAACTTGTGATTTTCTGAAACCTTATACTTTCAGAAAAGGAGCAAGATTTGCACGGGTCATGCAAACTCTACAATTGTTATTTTTCTTTTTTGTGCGTCAAGGTGTCACTTTAAAAGGAAATATATGGCAACCATGATTATGCATGATAACATAAAGAATATCATCTCAACTTTTTTCTTTTTTTTTGTAGGAGAAGGACACCAAAGAATTAAGGTTTACACGTGCGTTATATGTCGCATCAATTTTCGTAAAGGATGTGATATGTCTTTAATCAAAGAGCACATTGAGGAACATAAAAAGATTCTTATCTAACATCTTAAATAATGGACAAAAACCGATTAACAACTCAATCTTTTAACGAAATGAAGTGGCTGTTGAAATGAAATATTGGCATGTACTGTACAAAAATAAAGAAATATTTTTCAGTGTAAGTAGCATGTTATGTACAGTCATACGTATATTACATTCTGATAAAGACAATTTGTTTGTTTCTTAGAGGTGCCTTTGATTTAGGTTTTGTTTTTGTATTTTAATACATGTGCTGGAAATTTATGATTGAAAATGAATTGTTTTATTCCATAATTGGAAAGAGCACTGCTGCGCGTGGTTGCAATTTCTCAATCTTGACATTTCTCACTCTGTCCCTCGATGTTATTACTGTATTTCATAATTGTTATCAGATTTATGGTCATATCTTAGTTTGGTGTTTTTTGAATTTGTTATGTTTAGCTCTTAATAATGTCAGTGTTGTAAATAAATGGCATACGAATTCCCCCTGTTTATGTAAATTTCTATCCTTTATTTAATTGGTTGGTCAGAACAAAAGTGGGCGGATTTGTCAAAGATAAGGTGTGGGTGAGTTTGTATGTATGTGAAGCAATCTACTAATTTTTGGTTAAATTCAGTTTGTTCTCAATTATATTTGTGAAATTTATATTTTGGACTATAATAAATTCGGAACTTTAAAACGTTTTTTCATTTTGCAACCCTTTCGAAAAAAAAACAAAACAAAAAAACTAGTATTTCATGGTAATCTACGGAAACCCGTTGAGGCCAGTTCAGAGAGCAAAATATTTTTTATTGCGTTTAAAGGCAATAATTATTGAGTTTAATCGCAAAACTTTGCGTTTAATCGCAAAAATCATTGCGTTTAAACGCAAAGCACTTTGCGTTTAATCGCAATCTTTTGCGATTAAATGCAATGATATTGCGATTAAATGCAATAATATTGCGATTGAACGCAATAATTATTGCGTTTAATCGCAATAATATTTTTGCGTTTAATCGCAATAATTTTTGCGTTTAATCGCAATAACTTTTGCGTTTAATCGCAATAACTTTTGCGTTTAAACGCAATAATATTGCAATTAAACGCAAAAATTATTGCGTTTAATCGCAAAAATATTGCGTTTAATCGCAATAATTATTTGCATGTAAACACAGTAATTTGCATTTAAATGCAATACTCTTTGCGTTTTATCGCAATTATCCTTCCTTTTAAGCATTCATTTTGCATTTAACCACAATGATTCATTGCGTAGTTTGAAATCAAACATCGGCTAGCCAAAAATTATTATGAATACTATGGTCTGATTCTTTAAAAAAGAACCGTTTGGTTCTGTGTTTTTTTGCAAAATGTTGCATTGTGTGAGATTTGAAGTTTAACAATGGCATCCTAAGAAACAACCAGAGTTTCTTAAACCTATTAGAATCCAACACTTTTAAAGCAGCCATTAGTCAATTCCTTAGGTATCACAACAAATTAAGAATGTTTCAGTGGTATTAATAGCCATATCAATTTGGTAGTGCAAATCGATCAATCTGTTTTCATTTGATATATTTTTGATTTCATATGATTCCATCTCCTACATTTTTGTGTTCTCGTGTTTACTGCAAGGCCGTAACTACCATTGAGGCAAGTGAGGCAAATGCCTCACTAAATTTTTAGAGTTTTCTGAAAAGTGAAAAAAAGTTTTACATTGAACATATGAATTATGTGTGTCTTCGTGCTAAATTAAAATTTTCAACTTTTGTTTCAATTTCTGCAAATCTTTCATCTCACTAGTGCCTCATTTTTATTTAGAACGCATGTAAAATATATAAGTCAAAATGTTTATTTTGTAAGTTGAATCCCTTCTAAGAATTTCTCATTCATATTGAGACACCACTACTTGCGGTGGAGGGCTGCAAGTTTTAAATTTGTACTGGAATCGCAGAGTCACTGAAGATAATTGAACAGTGAGAGATCTTTTTTGTGCCATCACTTTCTGTGACTTAGGACCTCAGTTTTTACTTCTCATCCGAAGGACCTGTCTCTACATACCACAGTGGGATTCGAACCCGCGATGTAAGGATCAACTCCTTAGTCTGCGACTCTAGAGCATACATGTAGGCTCTAACCAATGTGCCATGCGGGCGACAATTCAAAGCTTAAACACTTTCTACGATTAAATATTTATTTTCTAATACTAAGGTTTCAGGACACCCCCTCCACCTGGAAACCCCCATCACTGGCCATCAGGCATTACCCTTGCCCCGTCTGGGACTAGGAATGCCTGATGGCCTTGCCTCACTTAAAAATTGAGCCTAGTTACGGCCTTGTTACTGTATGTGATCAAAGGAAAGGTTGTGAATATACAGGAATATAGACATCTCTACATGCTAAAGCTTTGTTTCATTCTAATGTTGTCTTTGATTTTACAGACCGACACTTCTTTCTCCACTTTATACCCATACCAATGATTTAATCATTCAGTAAATGCTTGTTCAGAAGAATCTGATTCTATAATGCTTAACAATACACAATTTTCCTCATAGGTTAATGTACAAAAGAAAAAAGAAACGAATATCAGCATGGATCCATTGCACTCTTCAAAAATCAATAGAAATGATTGCTTTCAAATACAAATATTATTGCGTTTAAATATATACATTAACCTATGAGGAAAATTGTGTATTGTTAAGCAATACGAATACGAAATAATACAAATTAAACTCGTTTTAACAGATTCTAAAACTTGTTATAACGAATTGAATTCAATTAAACGAATTCCATAATTTGTTATAACGAATTAAATTCGTTAAAACGAATTCGACAAATCGTAATATCGAATGCATATATATTTTTGTATAGACCCTGATTATTGAATTCGATCAAATGAATTTAATTCGTTATAACAAAACTTTGGAATTTGTTTTAACGAATCTAATTTGTTATAACAAACTTAAGAACTTGTTTAAACGAATTTAATTTGTTATCAAATTTTTTGAATTCGATTTAAGAGCGTGTCTCAGAGAAAAACATGCAAAATGGTCCAGTAGCAAGGTTCTCCAATTGCCTTCAAATTTTGCAAGCTAAATCTAGTATGCATGAATGGAAATTGAACAAATTTTTATTGTGCCAATCATACCGGTATACCTTTTATGACCTGTTACTAAGAATAGCTCTTATGCAACAAAATCTCAGGTCATATTTTATACTTTTTAGTCATATTTGGAGAAGAATTAAAACTGCAACTCTCATTATTATCAAAATATTTAATTTTGAAATAAAAGAACACAGGTTAGTACTTCTTAAGTGCATAGTAAAAATGACTGACGTCCATTTTGTTTAAGTGCAAAAAGGTCATAAAATTGGCAATGTTCCATATTTTTGAAAAAATGTCAATTTTCTACTAAATTGAAATAACAGTTACGGCCAAAATGGAAATTTTAATCTAGAAAATTTTACTGCTTATTGTTAAGGATGATTATGTGAACAAAATATGAAAAAATTGCTGTTGGCAAATTTAAACTTTAGTATTCATTGAATGTCAAAGTAAGTTAATTTTTCACACTCGAGGTATCAAAAATACTTAAAGTGTTATACATAAAATACTTCAAAACTTTTCAAAACATTAAAAAAAATATGTTTCTGTGGTAACATTCATTTCTGTATTTTAAAAATTAAACATATTAATTACAGTTCAATAGATAACACCTCTATAAATCAAAATAATTCATTAGAAAGGGGTGGGGGTGGGTGGGGTGTTACACACAATATTATGAATCCCCTTTCATCTCTTAAAATTAAAATGGAGGGAAAACAATATTGTTGTAAATGTTTTAAGTAAACAAAACCAAACTTCTGTAAAAATTAATATAAAGTTTGAATATTTTTCAACATCTTTTGAATATGATAGCTCTCCTAAAATAGAATTCAGTTAACAAGTGCATAAAGGTCAAAATAAGCATTGTGATCTATTATTCTACAATATATGGTATGTAATACATGAACTTCATGTACATAATGTTGGTTACAGTAAACACCCTTAAAATGAATTCATGTTTACAGTTACTGTAGTTAATTTCATTCTCTGTTGATTCCAAAACATGTTACACTGTATTGGGAACTAATTACTTTTATAATGATTCATACACTCTTTGATAGAAGTCATATTGTGATGTAGGACACAGAGTTTATAAATTAAAAAAAACAAAACTTATTTTGATATCCCATCATAATGAAAATACTGTAACAATCAGAATTCTAACATTTTAATGAACATGAAACTTTTGATCATAATGTAAGAATGTCAAAATCAATTCCATGGTTAAGTATATTGGAACCTTTAATTTCCAAGGTTCTTATTTTTGTGAGGGGTGGGTTAGTTTTCAATGTATTCGGGGCATGGAGAGACCCACAAATTTATGACTATCATGAAATATAAAATTTATATGCTTAATTACTACTCAACACTTCAAAAACTGCAAAATAAAATCAAAATCCCCACATATCAATATTTTTTTTTTCTGAATCCTCGATTCCCCTGTTTCAAAATATGTGATTATACAGGTTATAAACTTACTGAATATGTACAGATGTAAACACATCATTCACCATACAAGTCACTTGATCTTCATATTCATTCGAGTCTAAAGCAGAAACAATCTCTGCAAGTATTTCATCCTAATCAATACAAACATCTTCAAAACACCTTTCAGACAACAATTGATTGTTTACAGAGGGAGGTACAGAGACACTCTTAGATTTTATTGACAAATATATGAGGCAATATATCCTCTTACTTGTGAAATATTTAGCCATTTTTCTTTCTTAAAAAGTCTTTCACCATTTTTCTTCAGCTCATCTGCCAATGAGACACTATCGGGGCATTTTCCTGTTCTGTCACATTCTTTGCATATCATGCACTAGTCCTTTTCTTCCTTGGAGAACTGTATTGCTTTCTTCTGCTCTCCAGTGCCAAACCCATGCTTTCTCCTGTTGGCTCTCTCTGGACTCCATCATTAATTCTACCTGATTTGACTGTTTGTATCAATAAATTTTGAGACTCTCTAATGCTTTCACATCTTGTATCATATAAATTTGCTGCAGTGTTCCTACTTGATCTTGAATTTCTGTAAGACTGATTTCCAACTCCCAGGAGATTTTCGTGATTGCAACATTTTGAAAATACTTTCTGTTATGATGAGTCTGGACAGAGGTAATACATGTATTGTTGAGTATTACTCCCTATACTTCCAGCCGAACTTTCATTTGTAACCTGCTTCATCTTTCCCTTGATCAGTAAGCTCAAGATGTTGGGTAAATGAAACAGTTCCACTCCACTGATCCTCCTCTCTTAGAAAACCCTGTATTACCTATAATATGAATTAAAATGCACCATAAGCAATTTACTTTAGATGAAGGTGGTGATTTATTCAAAGACTAATTATTTGATAACTGACCTCTTTTGAAAAAAAAACTTTACTTTGACTTAACTATGTTTACCTACCACAATCCCAATATATCATATGTCATGACATGTGACCTTTGTAAATGGTTAAATTACAAATTAGAAGATAATGTATGGGGTTTTTTTAAATTTTGATGAACAGTGTTGCAATGGTTGATAAAAAATAGAAATTTCGGTGAAATACTTTCAAAAGGCTATTCTAAATACAGTTTTAGTCTGTCAATGATTATAATATAATGTGGCATGTAAATAGACTACATAGAGAAACATAATTGTTATTTTTGTTTTTTTTATATTGATGAATGATTTTGTCACAGTAACTAAAATTGAAATTTTTGTAAAATTTAATAAAAGCAGCTCCTACAGTTGTGGTTTTATTGCAATCTTGCCACAAAAATAGGCTTTATCAAGAATCATTATTCTATTTATTGCCCTTATAAAGTTTCAAGACCCAACTGCTACTTTTTTCTTCCTTTGTCTGTTTGTTATAAGTACAAATCAATAGAGCTACAGTCTCAACAGAGACTTTTGGTTTGTTTTGTTACATGTATGTTGCACTATTAGAAAGTATCATAATATAAACAGGTATTACATGTACTATAAATTATAGTTATGCATTTTGGACAGTTCTTTTAAAATCAACTGGATCAGTGGGATAATAAGAGAATTGAGTTATTAAAAAATCAAGGTGATAGCCTAAGTGACAAGTGAAAAATATAATTATTAATTTTCTAGCCCTACACTTTACCATATGAATTTGCTTCAGGGTTTTCTCTTCTGATTTGGTTGGATCCAATAAATACTGCAGCACATGGACAACTGTTGCTATAAGCATGATAAGATAGAATTTTAATCAATTCTAAATAATGTTTAATTCAAGAGAGGAATGATAAAATATATTGGAGATGTTTAAAACCTCTATAATACACAAGGTGTACTAGCAATCATATACTGTCTCGTATATGTACATGCTAAAACTTTTAGTATAAACTTTATGAGTAGCAGTATATTTTTATGATTTTTTATCAATGTTCTTGATTTTCAAAATATCATCAATTTGAAAAAATTATAGGCACTCAATTTAATTTTGTATAAATCTTTATGTAATTATGGTGATGAAATATTTGTGTGATCAACTAAATTTTAAAGATTGTCCTTGCATATAATTAAATATACCTATTTCCTCTTCTAAAATCACTGTCATACTCCTTGGTCCAAACTCATTACTGCCTATGAGAAGCACACTGCTTGCACAATTCTTCAATTTATTAGAACTTGTATTTCATGTACATGTACTTCTAAAAAAAAAAAAAAAAAAAAGAAAAAAAAAGATCAAACAATTGTTTAATCTGAGCCGAGTTTATACCACCTGTCCTCCTCCCCTATCACAATCACTTGTAAAACAGAGAACAAATACATTCATTATTTTAACTTCCAACTGAAAATTCTTTGTCCTACCTGATCCAACTGGTATATTGTCTCCCTCATTTTCAACCAGTATTCTTTACAAAAGATAGGGATAGCCCATCGGTCTGCTTTTGCTTTCTTCCTTATGATCGGGACGGCAGCACCTTGACTTACTTCTTCGCCATTTTAATCCTTAATTGTCTTTGACATACTCATAATTCTAATGTGCTAGAAATGTCAATGGAAAAAATACCATTTCTATAGGCCTACAGAATGCAGCAAAACGATCGCCTCTGGTACGTCATAAATTTTCCATGCAACCCAGCTAGGGTATGTTCCGAGATTTGAGTAAACGCAAATGGTTTGACAGATCCTTAGTATATTCTTATAAATGAATTTATTGGGCCATCACTGCTTGAAATGTTTGAAAAATTGCTGAAATCACATTGTTTTTCTGCCCCTGCCATGTTGCAATATCATTTTCCCCCTTTTTTGTATGGAGAGTTCCACTACGGGAGATAACTCTTCAAAACTCATTTTATTAATTTTCTTTATCAATTTTGGTGAATATTTTAAACTTTCATGAAGGTTTTAATTTTGATTGTCCTTCTCAGCATTTATTTACACTAAAATCAAATTATTAATCATCAATTGAAGAAATATTCATTACATTTGAACAATTTTAATTTACAAATGAAAAGCTTGGCTAACATCGTAAGGTCATCATTTCCACCAATTATTTGTTATATGTCCTATTAAAAGCCATCAGTGAATTTTTTATATTTGATAGAACATAAATAAATTATTATAAAGCACATTATAAGATCAAATTATTTTCTCCATTTAAGCTGTGCAATTGCACTAAACAAGGATAATAAATCTAAAGTTCTAAATTTAGCCTTACTCGTGGCTCGATCATAGAATACATATAGGTGCAATCATTGTGAAAAATAAATATTTTTCATCTTTGACATATATGTGTTGATGATATAATAAATATCTGGCATTGCAAAAATTTTTCAATTGATTTTGCAAGGTCTCAATCTTTCATATTTGCACCTACTATTTTATGCCAATTTTGCTAAATATAGAAACAGGGTTGTTACTAAAAATAGAAACACGTGGCACACTTTCCAAATTTAAATTTTAGATCCTCAGACAACCTAGACCTTAAAAATATATTATAAAATGAAAAGTTTTGTAGACCCTCCCGGACGATTTTTCAGATTTTGCATGTTTTTCTCTGAGACACGCTCTTAACGAATTTAATTCGTTATAACAAATTAAAGAATTCGTTGTAATGAATCATTTTTTTTATTCAACAAATTCGTTATAACAAATTCGTAGAAATTATTACAAATTCTTTATAACAACGAAAACAACAAATTCGACAATTCGTTATATCGGATTCAATAATATTTTCGATAGGTCCTAAATGGGCTTCCGAATAACAAACTTTAACAAATCATTTTATTTTCTCGTTGTTATTGTTTTAGCAGGTCATTCAGTCTGGAAAAGAGTTCTACATTGCGCTACACAAAACTCTAGGTATGATGGCTGCTCCGCTCTTGACGTCAAAATCCATATTATCGTTGTGGCAGATTTCTCTACCGCGCTTAATTTTTTATGATCTCCGTATTTCTGATCAAAATTCTATAAAAGTTGCACAACATGAATTTGAAATAAAGTTGAAAAATTATACACTTAAACTGAATTATTTTCGTCCTTATTATGGATCCACGAAGACTTAGAACGTTTGTGTTACATATTCCCAATATCTGATTTCGTGACTGCTCCGAGTACCCCTACTATTGACGCATTTATAAACCATTGTAGAGAAAATGTTTAACATTTGTAAAATATTTCTTGCTTTAGTGTATGTCAAACGTATATGCAAATTTTTCACTGAAAGACGTTCAAAGTGTGTCTGTGAGAGAATACAATAGTCATGTAGTCGAAAATTTCGCTTGGAGGTTGCTTACAATTTACAAAGCAGTTTTTGTTGATGAACGATAATATAAAAATCGTAACGGTGAACTGCCAAGGTCTAGCGTCAACTCAGAAACGACAAGATGTCCTTAACTATTATAGAAATAAGGGTTACTCTATTTTGTGTCTGCAAGATAAACATTTTACCTATGAAACAGAACCATTTGTAGAAGCTCAGTGGGGTTACAAGTGCTATTTTAGTTCATATAAATCGAATTCATGAGGAGTAAGTATCCTTTTTAACAATAATTTGAATTTAAAGTCCACAAAGATAAGAAAGATAAGGAAGGGAATTTAGAAGCTCTTGATATTACCATTGAAGACAATAGGTTTACCCTGGTAAATGTATATGGACCGAAAAACTGACTGTCCAGAATTTTATGAAAAGGTTAGAGATATTTTTCTAGAATTTTACAATGAATATTTTGTATTATGCGGTGACTTAAATCTTGCACTTAATCCAGAAATAGATACATACAACTATGTTAATGTAAATAATCCAATGGCTCGTGAAAAATTGATAGAAATTATGGAAGATTTACAAATGATTGACTGTTACAGGAGTTTGAATCCAGAAAAAAAGTGTTCACATGCAGGAAAAAAAACCCTGTCAAACAAGGCCGATTAGACTATATTTTAATATCTGAAGGATTATCTAATCTTGTTGAAGAATTTACTGTTAAACCGCGGTACAGATCTGATCATTTTATTGTTCTAGAATTAAAATTCAATCCCTTCAATAAAGGCCGTGGCCTATGGAAGTTTAATCACATTTTACTGAATGACGCATTGTATGTCGAAAAAGTGAAGCAAACTATACAAAAAGTCAGATGTCAATATTCACAAAACATAAATGATATTGAAAATAATGCTATTTTTGTTGAAAATATGGATGACTCTATATTCCTTGAATTCTTCTTATGGAAATACGAGGAATATCTATTTCATATTCTTCATTTAAGAAAAGAGAGAGAGAAAAGTTAGAGAAATCCCTTGTAGAAGAAATAGAGAGATTAGAAACAAGTAATGAAAATAATACAGATATTTTAGAGGAAAAAAAAGAAACCCTTGAAAATTTAAGAAAAGTTAAAATGCAAGGCCATTTAATTAGATCCAGTGCTAGATGGGTAGAAGAGGGTGAAAAGCCAACAATTTTTTTTTGTAATTTAGAATCAAGAAACCATGTTAACAAAATTATTAAAAGGGTTGAGATTGATGAACAATACACTGTTTATGATCAATTTGAAATTTTAAATCAAGTTAAATCTTTTTATGAAGAACTGTATTCAAATAAAGATTCAAAATGTATTGACATGGATCTGAATGATATTATTGACCCAGCGGAAGTTAAAAAACTTGACGAGATGACTTCTAATAGTCTTGAGAAAGATATTGAAGAAAGTGAACGTTTAGATGTTCTTAAGAATATGAAAAATAACAAGTCTCCAGGGACTGAGGGTTTTACGACTGAATTTTTCAAATTTTTCTGGATAGATTTGAAAAGTTATATTTTAAATGCAATTAACTGTATTTTTTCAAAGAAAGAACTTCCAATTTCTCAGAGACTTGGGATTATTTTCTGTATACCCAAAGGTGATAAACCAAGACAGTTCTTAAAAAATTGGCGCCCAATTACTTTACTAAATGTCTTTTATAAACTTATATCTGGATGTTTAAGTTGTAGAATAAAGTCGACTCTAGAATATCTTATTTCTGATACACAAACAGGTTTCATTAAAGGTAGATTTATAGGGGAAAATACAAGATTTATTTATGACTTAATGTCTTATACAGAGTCAAATAATATTCCTGGTCTGTTGATGCTATTAGACTTTGGGAAAGCATTTGACTCAATTTCATGGACCTTTCTTTATAAAGTTTTGAAGTATTTTGGTTTTGGAAACAACATTATTGAATGGATTAAAATCCTAAATACGTACAATATGGTTTTTTATCAGAACAATTTTTTATTCAGAGGGGCTGTAGACAAGGAGATCCTGTTGCTCCCTACTTGTTCTTCCTTTGTCCTGGCTATTCTTATTAAACAAAACAGATATAAAAGGCATAATAGTAAAAGAAAAAGAACACAAAATCTCTCAATATGCAGATGATACCTCGCTTGCCCTTGACGGTTCACCAAAATCTTTGTTTGCTGCTCTTGATACATTGGATTTATTTTCACAATTATCTGGTTTAAAGATAAATAGTTCTAAGACGTTCATTAGAAAGCGAAATATAGACAATGTCTCAATAATTTTCGAAAAGCCCTCGTAAGTCCAGAATTTTTGTTTTATACATATTTTTTCAAAGTGCGATCAGTGTCCCCATTGTAAAACTAGATGCTGTCATGAGACAGTAATACCCGCACTAAGGTGTTTGCCTCTAAATACACACTCGTACATATTAGGCTAAAAGCCTTCCAAGGAAAAGTCAAAATAATTCTATAATTTACACGGTACATGTATTCGTCACATTGAGTATAACATTCTCAGACCCTGTGACTATGTGACCTATGACTCAGTGCCTATTATATGTATTTTATTTGCTTCATAGGCGTCGGAAGGAAATTGAAAGTGGAGGGGGGCTAAACCAACAAAAAAGGTAAACCCCAATTTTCAATACACAGAAAATGTCCATCTTTGCAAAAAAAAAAATGGGGGGTTAAGCCCCCCGGTTCAGACGCCAATGTGTAAATTAGATTTAAAAAAATGTTTTGCTCATAATGGGTACCTTTTTAAATTTAATAATGCCCTGTTGCAACCACTATTGAAATAACGACCACTATTGAAATAATTATATCAATAGTGGTTGAGAGTGTATTTCAATAGCAAACATAGTTAGTAACCACTATTGAAATACGACCACTATTGAAATAATTATATCAATAGTGGTAGAGAGTGCATTTCAATAGCAAACATAGTTAATAACCACTATTGAAATACGACCACTATTGAAATAATTATATCAATAGTGGTTGAGAGTGCATTTCAATAACAAACATAGGTAATAACCACTATTGAAATACAACCACTATTGAAATAATTATTTCAATAGTGGGTGAGAGTGAATTACAATATAATAACCATAAGTTTCAACCACTATTGAAATACGAGCACTAATGAAATAATTATTTAGTGAGAGTGCATTTCATTATGGTAACCATAGATTTCAACCACTATTGAAATACTAAAAGTATTGAGATAAATGTTTCACTGCGTCAGCAACTTTTGAAATAATTATTTCAAATAGACAATATATATTGGATTCATTGTTCAATCCACTATTGAAATAATTTGGTCCATATTGAATTTGAAATCTTCAAAATCTTTCAAAAGTGAACATTATTTCAATAGTGGTTGCAACCTATGTTTGTTATTGAAATGAATCTCAGCGACTATTGAAATAATTATTTCAATAGTAGTCGTATTTCAATATTGGTAACTGTTTATGTTTGTTATTGAAATGCACTCTCACCCACTACTGAAATAATAATTTCAATAGTGGTCATTACCTATGTTTGTTATACCCGCACTTTCTAAAGAAAGTTCGGGTATATTGTTGTTACTCATGTCCGTCCGTCCGTCCGTCTGTCACACTTTTTCTTCCCTGAACTCCTCCTACATTTTTCACAGTAGCTTAATCATCTTTTGGGAGATGGTTGGGGGTGTCATGTAGA